AAAACGATATATTATATTATATTTAATATTAAATTGATGTTTTGAAAAGTTATAAATGATTTTTATTTTAATATTAAATTGATGTATATATACTTAAATGATCATAATTACTTTTACTTATTTGTTTTTATTTGATCTTAGTTGAAAATAAAGAACTTAATTATTAATATTCCTAATCTTCATGGATTCCACATTCTACGATTGATGATATATTCTTAACCTTCAATCTTCCGTAGTTATTCAATACAATCGCCCACAATTTATTCTATATTATTTATTCTTGTTCATTAATAATTATAAAATAAAAATGTATACTATACTTTAATATGTTTATCAAAGTTTGTAGAGGAGTTTGTTCAACCTTTAATAACTTTTTTACTTGTGCAATTTTGACATTCTGCTTGTACCTTGTCCTTTTTTACATAAATTACTTTATAAAATTTTCCATCTAGAATTTTAAGATTCGGATTTAATTCAGGAGGACCTATAATTTCATCTTCACTACTATAAATGTTAAACATTCTACAAATTAAAATATAACATATAAAATATAACCTTTACTTATTTAGTTTTGGTGTTGTTATTTATAATCTATCTATTAGTGTGGTAAATTAGTTGGTTTTATACGACCACGACCCTGGTTTTTGATAGAAAAAATGAACCAAAACCAAAGCAACCAAATTGGTCGACCAAATCCATCGACCCAAGCACTGACCATAGCACAGCATCGATCCTATTTATTTTATATAAATAAAAACATGACATTATTTAATATTTTTATTTATTTAATATTGAAATGAAATTTTAATTATTTTTTATTATACTATGAAAATGGTTTGATGTTTTTTAATAAAAAAAATGTAATTATATTATCATTTTAACAATAAATTTGTGATCTTCACGCCCAAAATTTTAAGCAATTGTTTGATAAGAATTTTAAATTTTGTAAATAAATCTTTTTTGAGAAATTCTTTTGTGAATTTTATTATAAATAAACAATCTTTTAGATAATGAAATATTTTATAGTTTTTTTTTATCATTTTTCTGAAATTATTTTTTAAGTATATTAAAGGAAGTTGTAATTTCTAAATAATTTATTAAGCATGCTTAAATAAAATTTCAGGGAAGATGTACCCTCTAGATAAGTGACAATTGTCATAATCGTTATTTTAGTGTTTTTGAATTTTTTTTGTCGCAAATTGGAAATAATAAATATTAAAAACAAATTTAAATAAAACTTCAGTCAATATGTTCCCTGGATAAGTGACAATTGTCATAATCGTTAATTTTAAAGTTTTTTGAGAACCGACCAGAGAATAGACCCGAGCACAACTTATATTATTTTATTGTGACTGAATGTGAATATTTTGCTGAATTGTATTTTGCAAAGAGGACGAATATATCAATATTAGCATAGAAATATTCATATATAATATTAGATTCCTTTTTCAAAAATTGTTCCTTTCATCGACCCGAGCATGGACCGGATCACTTACTCCAAACCAACCTATTATATTAGTTTAATATAAATATTTTGCGCAATCATATTTTTATATTTAGAAGACGAATATTTCAATATTATCATGAAAAATAATCATATTTATTTAAAATTATATACTTTTTAAAAAAAAATTGTTCTCTTCTTATAATCTATAAATTAAAAATTAGGGACCGAGTAATTCAATTCCTTATTAATTATTGATATCGAATTAGAAATAATTATCTTCTAAGACTGGGAAATATTTATTATAGGAATTTATCGATTTTTAGATATGTATAATTCATATATCATCAAATGAGGGTATTATATCTTTTTTAATAATTTTTGGGATCTCTAAAATTATAAAAATTGGCCATATCTTTTGAGTTTTGATATTCATTTTTATTTATAGATAGGGGTCATTAAATTACAAATATACAAAATATAGACTAATTATAGGCTGACATCTGATAAATTATAAATTTATTATTTTTCTAAAAAGAAATCTTTTAAAATTAATTTAATAAATATTTATTTCAAATTGTATAATATATTTGTTTATTAAGATTAATGTTATTAATTATTATATAATATGCGACACCATTTTCCTTAAATATTAACCATAAAGATATGTAAAGGTATAATTACTTTTAAATATTTTGATGCTTAGTTTATTTTTTAAAATAACCCTGGTCTACCATATTAGATTTTTATATTGAAACAATCTCGGTTTTATATGATTAGATTAGCTTTAGCTTAGATATTCCACACCTAGTCCCCATAAAAATAGATCTCATGCACACCATAAACTTGAATATAAAATTTATTAAAATATAACAACGACAATATTATGTAAATATTAAAAAATACATATATATTTATTTATATGATAAATTAAATATTTTGCCATCCCAAGACGATAGGGCAAGGCATTGTTTTAGGTTTTCGATGACATGCGATTTCTCTTTTTAGTAACCGTAGCTCCAGCTTGAGAGAAAATTCGCTCTCTGGGGACAGAGGTAGTTTGTTGAGCTAAATCTCTCGCCATTTCAGAAAGGCACGGAAATCGTGACTGATTTCCCCTCCACCAATCTAAAATATTAATGTCTTCCGGACAAACTGGCTCCGCTAGATATCCCTCTATCTCGTTTTCAAAAGGACTCCCGCTAAGATTTTTCTTTCCAGATGTCATAAAATAATTATTAGATTAGATATATCATTTAATTATATACTTTTTTAATTCCTGCAAAATAGATACAGATGTAAGATTGTTAGGATTTCTCCAATCATCGACAAATTTATAATTTGTCTTAGAGGTTGAATAAGTTTTAAATACATTTTGAAAATCTTCAAAATAATCGATTGGGAATTCAATATTTTTGGGGATCAAGGATTTTTTTATCCTTGGATCTAAAAAAGACCCGGCATAATTGGCGAAATTAGACATTATCGCCAAATAGTCATTACATTTAGTCAGCATTTAGATGCTGCTTTTTTCATTATTTCATTTTTATTTTTTGAAGCTTTTATCAAATTTTCACGAATAAAATTTAAAAATAAAATTGCCATCCCTATAGTTGGCGAGTGTGAACTTATTTCACAAGTAATTTTATAAAACGGGGACAAAAATTCTTCAAGGTCTTTTAATAATTCACGTAAATCATTATTTATGATGAACTTATTCCTGCCTTGATATAGTTCTCCTAACTTCACAATTGCATCGATGTTCTGTATTAAATAAATAAAGTATACAATGATATAAAATTTAATACTTTGTAAAAATAATACCTTATTTACAGCAGCTATCATTAGATAAGTGATGTTCCAGCGTGTGGGTACATCTAATGGAATTTTTGTACCATCACTAATCTTGGTGTACTCCTCAATTAATTTTGGAGAGGTATGCAGCTTGATTATTATCCAATGAATCACCTCTAATTTATCAGATAAATAACATAGGCATTTTGAACTATAAGATTTATAACATGCGCTAAGCAACGATAATTATATAGATTTCTTTTATATAAAAGTTTTAAATCTTCTTTTAAGATATTAATACCACTAATAATATTTTTAGCGTTGTCATGAGTAATTGATAAAATATTTGAAGTAATTTCAGATTCATTAAAGCAATTTAATAACAAATCTGAAATTTCCTGTCCCGTATGGGGATGTGGGAATGAAACAATTGTAAGGAGCATATTGATCATTGTCCAATCACTATTGATGTAATGAATTGTTATAGCACAGTAGGTTATTGAATTTAGATTGAACCTGCAATCTGTAGTTACAGCAATATTCTTGATATGATATAATTTTTTAATAACTATTTCTTTAGCCGATTCATATATTATTTCTAATTTTTTTTTCATAGTTGGCCTTGTCCATATTTTAAAACCATTATTGCAATAATAAATCATTTCCTTAAAATTTTCATGTTCTATTGTTTTGAACGGTATATTTAATAATATAAGATATCGTAATATTAGATGATTTAATTTTAAATTTTCGCTAATTGATGGTTTTCTTACCCGTCATCACATCCGGGGTTGTGATACTGACAGTAGATATTTCTGAAGGATGAGATATTCCTAAGTGTCTTTTTAAATTAGCTAAAATTAAAATTTAGCAAAAATATAATTTATGGATTTCGTCAAATCGGTCAAAAAAGGCACATTTTCGGCCGACCCTCTAATTAGATTTCCTATTTAGTATAAAAAATATATAATAAAAAATCTAGGCAGGGCCTTAAAAGAATGTTTTTTAAAAAATCCTAATGGGCATTTGCCCACATTGCCCCTTAGTTTTTACTATATTTAATAGATATTCGATATTTTTTAATAAAATAAACGGCTTTCTCATTATTTACCTATCTAAATAATTTCATAAATTTTTAACAATTTTAAAAGGGGTTGGCCGAATCTTGATCGATTCGACGTTAAATGGCCCTTATTTATAGGAATAAAATATTACTTGAGGAAGTTGTATTACTGTATTTTTTGGAAAAATATATACATTGTTTATGCATCTTGGTGGGAGTAACAACAAAACTCCCCTTCATATCTAACGAGGTAGAAGAATGGTTATAAGAAGGTTCTGAATATTGTGTAGACTGTAATTGGGACGAAATTAAATTTAATCCAACTTCCATCATATCGATGTCACTAGAATTCATGCTAAAAATAAATCTTCGATAAATTTTAAATATTAATTTAAATAATATTTATTTCAAATTTCTTAATATATTTATTTATTACTTATATGAAAATAGATTAATTAATGATCTCGATTTATAAATAGAATTTATTAAGTTATTATTTATAAAATTTGAAATAATCGAAAAAAATAAAATTCATAAATATTTCTTAAATAAAAATTTTTTGGTGGCTTAATTCACCTGTATCGTGCCGCATGATATACTTTTTTTTTGTGTTTTGATGTTTTGTCGCGTGACTTTTTGCTAAATTTTGCTTAAGCTTAAAATTTGTGTGCTCAATTTAACAAGCTGATTGCTCAATATATTTGCGGGTAAAGGGATATTTAAAACCAATATCTTTCATATATCCAAACAATGCACTGGTATATTTTTTATTAATCTTATATAAAATAATCATATTATAGCTCCTGCCTGCTTAGAAATAACAAGACTAAGCTTACAAGTTGTATCTATAGACACACAAAGTAAAATATAATTCTAATTTTATAATTTATAAAAATCAATTTTATAGCTGATCCCATATGTGTACATTGTGTAGAAGTAGCCACTCAAAGTAAATTTAAATATAATTCTAACATTATTTTATTTTAAAATTTTATCTGAAATATTTTCCCAGCATCATTTGAGACAATAACCAACCAAGTTAAATTATAGAATATATTACTAATATGCTATCTTGTTAACCTGAAAATTTTCTTCTTAGCATCAATTGATTTAATTTATTCAGCTCCAACCAACCAAAGTAAATTTAAAATATGCTACTTGTTAATCTGGAAATTTTAATCTTAGCATCACTTGATATAATCCATTCAGGAACTGCAATCATTCAAGGTAAATTTAAAATATGCTACTAATTTTATCTGGAAATTATCTTTTATAGCCATTGAAGATTATCATATAAATCAATTAAATTTTTTAAAGCAAAATGCTCAGTATATATTTATAAAATCTAAATTTAATAAAAATCTATTATTTTCTAATAATTTTTTATATTCTCAAAATAGAGAAAACTATTATATCTGTAGAAAAAAAGATTGTAATGGAAGAGGTATTTTAAATACTTTTTTTGTAATGACTAGGGTTCATGATCATAATATTATAAAGAGTATTATGAACTTTTAATTACAATAAATGAATTTAAAAGCCAAATATTTAAGTATGCACAAAATATATAAAAAAGTTATGCGTAAGAGGAAATTGGATTCTTTTGCCATGCAAAATCCAAAAGTCCTACCCACATATTTATCAGTAAAGTCAATTATGGCCCGTGTTATTCAAACAACAAGGCCATCCTTGCCTCATATAAATTCTGATATAGCATTACTCGCTGAACATAAATGCACAGAAACAGGCCAAATTTTTTTAATATATAGTGATGATGATAAAAAATTATTTATTTTCTTTGCTAACTCGACTTTATAGTGCCAATAATATTTATATGGATAGCACTTTCAATGTTGCCCCAAAACTTTTTAAGCAATTTTATACAATAAATATAATTATAAATAATACTTTAATTGTGTGTGCTTATATTTTATTACCCAATAAATATAAGGACACATATATTAAAATGTTTTTTTCATTAAAAAATTATTGCCTTTCTATAGGTTTAATATTTTCCCCCAAAATTGCAACTATAGATTTTGAAATTAGTGTATATTTAGCACTTTTTCCCAACTATTGTCGTCAAAGGGTGTTACTTTCACTTCTGTCAGTGTATTGTAAGACGAATTAGGGAATACCGTTTAACCCGACTACATAAGCGTGATCCTGATGTTAAGAGGTTTTTTCGAATTATAATGGCTATTCCATTTTTATTAGAAAGGGATTTGCCATCTGTAATGAGCGAACTTAATCATCAGGCACATACCTTTGACCTGGTTTCTATTTTTGATTTTTTAAATTATTTTGAAAATACTTGGATAAATAGTAATGCAAAATTCAAATATCAAATGTGGAACACATTTGATGTTAATAGTGTGAGGACCAATAACCACGTTGAAGGGTTTCATCGTGCGTTAAAGGAACACATTCCTTATCCTCACCTTAACGTTTATCTATTTGTTGACATCATAAAAAATATTGAACAAGACATGGATCTTTTATTAATTCAGTTAGATTTGGAAAAAAAGTTTCTGAAAGGAAAAAAAAATAAACAATAATTGAAAGCAAGATAATGGAGATAATATTTCTCTACTGTGGGTACTATTTTAATCCCATTCAATATTTAGAAAATATATCTAAATGTATATATTCTAAAAGAGTTGATCTTGTTAATGATTAATCAATTGAATTAATACAGGATCCACATATTCCATATTTTGATGATGTCAATAGATAATATTACTATTTATCCAAGTATATAAATTGTAGTTGGGTTTAGTGTTGTTAAACGGCTCATTTTGAGCCGATTTTTAAAAACGGCTAACTCAATATTTTAGCTAAAAATATATTGCCTAAGGCTCCAGATTTCGCTAATAGATGTCTAAACTTTTGTGCTATCTATGAGCAAAATTTTTAAGCTTGCATAATATTTTTCAGGATAAAATATTGAGTTAGCCCTTTTTAAAAATCGGCTCAAATTGAGCCGTTTAACAACACTAGTTGGGTTTGTTAGAAGTGTTATGCATCAATTTTCTAATGTATGGTTCTATCATCATCATCACTTATATTTTAAAAATTTGGTAAAGTTTATTTACAGCGAGTAGTGCACAAATATGTGGGGAGGTTTGATGCATGATAAACGATTCTATTTCAATTTACCATATATTTTATATTATGTTATGGACACATAGATATTTATTAATTATTTGGTTTTTAGCTAAAAATTCACATTACTCTTTATCAATATTATGATCGTGCTTTTTCATTTTTTAATACTTTTTATACCAAATTTACACCATTTTATATAATATTTATATACAAAAAGTAATTACCATAATTTTATATATCTATTGAAATAAAATTGCAATCATTATTTATATACCACCTATTGATATACAAATTGTAATCATCATTTTATATACAATTGCAATATATACAAATTTTTATAGACCACCATCAATATACCATCTTAATAAATATAATTTTATATACTATTGATATGCAAATTGCAATCATTATTTTATATACCGCCATCAATATATAGTCGCAATAAATATGATTTTATATACTATTGATATATAAATAGCAATCATTATTTTATATAGCATTATTATACTATTGCAATCATTATTTTATATTTATCAATCACAATAATAATATTTATATAATAATAATATTTATATATACTATTAATATAATTGCAAAAGTAATAAAAAAATTGTTAGGCTTATATTTCATTATTCTTACAACATGCATGCTTATCATTATATCATATTATTTATAAGTAATGTTGTTAAACGGCACGATTTGATTTAAGTAATATCTAAGTAATCAGATATTTATAGGAATAATAAGTATAATCTCTACGATAAAAATTTTATTAATGGAGTTCCTAGTAGGAAAAGAGATTAACATATTCCCATTAATCATTAGAAATCTAAAAAAAAGTTAAAATATGAGTAAATCTGATATTTATAGGAATAATAAGTATAAATCTCTACGATAAAAATTTTATTAATGGAGTTCCTAGTAGGAAAAGAGATTAACATATTCCCATTAATCATTAAAAATCTTAAAAAAAATTAAAATATGAGTAAATCTGATATTTATAGGAATAATAAGTATAAATCTCTACGATAAAAATTTTATTAATGGAGTTCCTAGTAGGAAAAGAGATTAACATATTCCCATTAATCATTAGAAATCTAGAAAAATTAAAATATGAGTAAATCTGATATTTATAGGAATAATAAGTATAAATCTCTACGATAAAAATTTTATTAATGGAGTTCCTAGTAGGAAAAGAGATTAACATATTCCCATTAATCATTAGAAATCTTAAAAAAAATTAAAATATGAGTAAATCTGATATTTATAGGAATAATAAGTATAAATCTCTACGATAAATTTTATTAATGGAGTTCCTAGTAGGAAAAGAGATTAACATATTCCCATTAATCATTAGAAATCTAGAAAAATTAAAATATGAGTAAATCTGATATTTATAGGAATAATAAGTATAAATCTCTACGATAAAAGTTTTATTAATGGAGTTCCTAGTAGGAAAAGAGATTAAAATATTCCCATTAATCATTAGAAATCTAAAAAAAATTAAAATATGAGTAAATCTGATATTTATAGGAATAATAAGTAAATCTCTACGATAAAAATTTTATTAATGGAGTTCCTAGTAGGAAATAGATTAACATATTCCCATTAATCATTAGAAATCTAGAAAAATTAAAATATGAGTAAATCTGATATTTATAGAAATAATAAGTATAAATCTCTACGATAAAAATTTTATTAATGGAGTTCCTAGTAGGAAAAGAGATTAACATATTCCCATTAAACATTAGAAATCTAGAAAAAAATTAAAATATGAGTAAATCTGATATTTATAGGAATAATAATTATAAATCTCTACGATAAAAATTTTATTAATGGAGTTCCTAGTAGGAAAGGAGATTAACATATTCCTATTAATAATTAGAAATCTAAAAAAAATTAAAATATGAGTAAATCTGATATTTATAGGAATAATAAGTATAAATCTCTACGATAAAAATTTTATTAATGGAGTTCCTAGTAGGAAAGGTGATTAACCTATTCCCATTAATAATTAGAAATCTAAAAAAAATTAAAATATGAGTAAATCTGATATTTATAGGAATAATAAGTATAAATCTCTACGATAAAAATTTTATTAATGGAGTTCCTAGTAGGAAAAGAGATTATCATATTCCCATTAATCATTAGAAATCTAAAAAAAAATTAAAATATGAGTAAATCTGATATTTATAGGAATGATAAGTATAAATCTCTACTATAAAAATTTTATTAATGGAGTTCCTAGTAATATTAACCATATTGTATTATATATAATATTGAATTATAAATAAATTATATTAAATAGATAAATAATATTATAAATATATAAAATATGTAAATAATATTATAAATATATAATATAAATTATACTATTTTAATTATATATTAATTATGTTAATAATATTAATTATTATATTATAATTAAATCATATTAAATATTATAATTATATATTATTATATTAATACAATTTATATATTTTTATTTATATTAAATTAATTTAATTACTTTAAATATTATATTAATAATATATTATGTTAAATATTACAATTATATACTTATTAAAATTTATATTAATACATTTATATATTTTTCTTTATATCAAATTAATTTAATTACTTTAAATATTATATTAATAATATATTATGTTAAATATTACAATTATATATTTATTAAAATTTATATTAAATGATGTTAATATTAATTATATAATTATATTCAATATTTGATTAAGGTATTTACTAAAATTTATAATGATATTAATTTAATATTAAATACTTAAATAGAAAAAACTATCTAATCTGTAAAAGTCAAATTTTTGATATTTTTTTAAATCTCTCGCTTCAGCTTCAAACTTATAAGGGCCATTTTGACAGCCATTTTAGCTTATTTGTCTTTTTGATATTTTTAAGAGTATATAAAGCGGACCCGATTATTCCAAAAAATACCCCCCCCCCCCAACTGGACCCAAAAATGGAAATCGTTTGTTTTTATATAAGAATAATATAGATAATAATAAAGATTAGTGTTGTTAAAGTTACTAATACGAAAACTTTTATTGTAAGAAAAAAAACTTATCTTATATCTTAAAATG